CTTCGACCAGATCCAAATGAAAGAAATTCAAAATGTTGTCTTTTGAAATCAATTGAATTATTTATAAATCTTTCTGGAAAAAATTCTTCAGATTTGTCCCAATAGTTAGGATCTCTTGTAATTGCCCAAACATTAACAATTATCAAGTCCTTAGGAAAAATATCATATCCATTTATCTGAAAATGAGATATGACTTCTCTTGGAGCCAATAAAGGAGCCACAGGATGAACTCTCATAGTCTCTTTTATTACAAACTTGAGATAATGAAGTTGATCTAAATCATCTTCTGAGACTCTTTTTTTCTTCCCAATACAACTTCTAACTTCATCTTATGCAATCTTCATTACCCTTGGGTTGCGAATAAGCTCTGTCATTGCCCACATCACAGTATTTGCACTAGTGTCAATTCCACCAAAGAAGATGTTCTGTTACACAAATATCAAAGAGATATAAATTGATTAACATTGTTGAAGATAGATATTTTAATAAAAATCAACACAGAAAAGTGACAAAACCCCTTATATACATGATAAAGAAAAGTACAAATACTTGAACAAATAATATACCATGAGTAATCCTTTTATATTATCACTTTGAAGGGATGATTTATTTGAGTGATATTGATTATCCTTATCTAATTCCATCATCACATCGATAATGTCCTTATTTTGTTGGTCGTTCCTCTCTAGATGAAGATGTCCATAAATGGCATTTTGGAAGATGGTGTCTAGTTCATGAAAGACTCTTTCAAGCTTTTCATGGTGGCTGTTAACTCTATCAATGATCCAACCCAAGTTTGGTAGATAATCTTCTGCACTGAATTCACCCAACAAGCTAGAAATATTGTGAAGCAAACGATGAAAACTACTTTTGTCATGATCACTACCACGAAAGTTATAGCCTAGAGCCATCCTGAATATTATGCTAGCATTGTAAGTAAATATTTGATGTGTGAGATTGATTGGGTTCGAAGAAGATGCTGCTTGGGAGATGACATCCAAAAGAAGACTAACTTCATCTTCCCAAATGAATTGAAATGACTGTATTCTCTTGATACTAAAAATCTCGCAAACAACTAATTTCTTTAACTCTCTCCAGTAATTTGAATATGGACAAACGCAATATTGAGAAAATTATAAGAGAATCTCCTAGTGCTAATAAACTTAGATCTACTACAAGTATGAAGATCATAGGTCTTAAAAATCTCTTTTGCAGTTTCAGCAAAAGAGACTACAAAGGTAGATAGAAAACCGATTTTGATAAACATAAGAGACCCATATTTGAAGGAGAAATCACATAGAGATCGGTGAGGCAAGTCACCTAATTGGGGTAAATTTCCTATTATGGGAAGCTTAGAAGGGCCTGGTGGTACCTTCTTCTTTTGTGGTCTCGTTAACAAGATGATGAGTATGAAAGCAAGGAGGAAAAAAGGAAACCAAACATAATCCATAACTACCTAACTTTTTCACTTCCCACTTTTGATAAACATGTACTAACAACCATGCATCCTTTTTATTCCAATGCTTGGATTTTTTTTTAAGAAAAAAGAAATATTCAAAATTATTAGTTTAAGTAAAATTTTATTTTTATATAAAGTAGATAGTATATAAAAATAAATATATAAAACATTAAATCCTTATGGTAAATCCATAAGGTAGTACAGGAGACTTAACTATATGAGTAGAGAGCAAGATTCTTACGAGAATGAGAGGCGTATATTTGTCAAGAGAGAGCCCCACGAAGTGATCGAATTGTTAGATGCTGCCTGCCAATTAACTCCATTTTATACATTACATACATATACATTATGTATATATATATTAGTCGTATCCATGTTTCTTTTTTAGGTCCCATAACGTAGCAGATTTATAAGAATTTGAAAACGAATCTAATCACATGAGGAGTACATAAAAAAGAAAAGGATAACTTGGATCCATTTTTTCTTTTTTTTTTTTATCGGAAATTTTTGGTTTACTTGATCATATATGAAACCTTCTCTCTCTCTTATCTCCTTATTTTGCTTTACATCCAAATTATTTAGGGTTTAATTTTACTATAATTAGGTTTATATAATCTTTAACTTTTAATTTGTATTACTCTACATGACTGAGTGATTAAGCATGATCTATCAAATTTCAAAAGAATTTAAACACTATTTTAAATAATTGATTGGATTAATGACTAGAAAAATATAATATGATAAAAAATAGTGTACTTAATTATTTAGCTTCTAAATTGTATAAGTATAACATATTTCATAATAATATGATAACTGTCAGTTTCTAAAAAAGAATAAGGTAGATTTCTTTTAAGTAAAGTAGGATAAAATTTAACTTGAGAGCTAATTTTTGATAAAATAATTAAGAAAATTTGAACTCACATAAAGTGAAAAAAATTACTCATTATTAATAAAATAGTTACTTTTATATAAACAAATAAATTTCTAACTTTGAACCTCCAGTAAAAAAAAATGGGAATGTCAAAACTTGGGGTTAATGATGGTGACAAACAAAATTAGATTTTTAACACAAATGGGTGTTTGATATGTTTATTACTTACCTTATTACATTCATTTTGACAATTATAATTGTCATTATGATCTTCAAAAGTTTGTGATTTCTTATCATCTTGCTTGTATTTGTTCGTATATGATTAAAAAGACTTTTTTAAGTATTTAGAGAGAAATACATTAGTTATGAATTTTTATTGTACAATATTTTGAGGAATAAAAAAATATAGTTAGGATGATTTAATTCTTACCACAAAATAAAAAAGATGAAAGACTTCAAATAATATCATATATATATATATATTGATACACACAATAATGTACTCCTTTATGTGGTAAATTAAAAAGTTTTATTGATCTCTTGACGCCAAGTTCTATTATTCGGGGCTTCCAAAAATTAAACCAATTATTGCAAGTCTTTTCTTTAGAAAAAGTTTCAAAAGTTAGGCAATTATATTATTTTTCGATATGCATGCGATTAGAGTGATAAATGTAAACTGACAAAAGATAATTGAAGTAATAAGAATTGAAAGTCTTGTCTCAAAAAATAAAAGTATATTTGAAAGTTAGCAGTTTGATATATTATCACTAAAAGTGACGATATATTCATTGTTGTATATTCAATATATATATATATATATTGCCGATACAAAATTCTCCACATAATGAAAAATACTTTTCAAAAACCTGAAAAAGAAAAAAAAAAAAAAATATATATATATATATATATATATCTAGCATTCTTCAATCTTGTCCATAGAAAAAAATAAGACTTATTATCTAAATATATTATTCTTTTAATATCCACTAATGTGTTGCTAAATACACAGTGAAGAGTGCATATGGATATAATTGTTCAACATATTGCCTCATTTCCAGCAAAGCATGCAACGTCACTGCTGTACACAGTAGGGTTGCTTCTTTATCATTCATTTATTTATTTTAAGATTAAGTATGATTTGTTTTTTTATATATTAATTAATTAGTAAGAATTGAATTGAAATAAAAGAGTAGTTGAAGTAGTTGCATTGCTGAGAAAAAAAATTACTTCATTTTTAAGTGAAAGTGAGCAACCAGAGTTCTTAATTCATAATATATCATAAAAACAAATCATTTACAATAATAGTTTTTTTTTTTATTTTAACATTAGAAAATACATATGAGCACACGTGTATTTGTACAAATACATATATGGCAATATTATAGCCACAAGGATACTCTTTTACATTGAAGTTCATGAGTGAGGATAGGCAATTGGTACAAGTTCAAGTGGCATCTTCTTGAAGAGAGTAATACCTCCTTCTTCATCCAAGCTAATATCATGGTTCTTTATGCCCTTTGGTGGCTCCCAATTAAAACAATGTAAGAGATTGGCAAGTGCAAGCTCAATAATTGCTAACCCCATATTCATTCCTGGACAAATTCTTCGACCAGATCCAAATGGAAGAAATTCAAAATATTGTCCTTTATAATCAACGGGATTATCTATAAATCTTTCTGGAAAAAACTCTTCAGATTTATCCCAGTAATTAGGATCTCTTGCAATACCCCAAGCATTAATAATTATCAAGTCTTTAGGAAAAATGTCATACCCATTTATCTGAAAATGAGAAATGACTTCTCTTGGGGTCAATAAAGGAACTAAAAAGTGAATTCTCATAGTCTCTTCTATTACTAACTTGAGATATTGAAGTTTCTCTAAATCATCTTCTGAAACTCTTTCTTTCTTTTCAATGCAACTTCTAACTTCATTTTGTGCGATATTCATCACTCTGGGATTACGAATAAGTTCTGTCATTGCCCATATTATAATATTTGCACTAGTGTCAATTCCACCAAAAAAGATGTCCTGTTAGAAAATTATCATAAACATATAAATTGATTGACACTATAGAAGATAGATAGTTTATAAAAATCAGCATTGACAAGTGAGAAAGCCCCTTATGTAAAAGTTATATGCTTGATAAAGAAAAATATAATAGTTGAACAAGCAACATACCATGAGCACTGCTTTGATATGATCACTTTCGAGGAATGGTTCAGTTGAGCGATCTTGATTATCTTTGTCTAATTCTAGCATTACATTGATAATGTTTTTGTTTTGCTGGTTTTTCTCTGAATGAAGATGGACATGAATGGCATTTTGGAAGATAGTATCTAGTTCATGAAATACTCTTTCAAGTTTTTTGTGATGACCATTAACTCTATCGATGATCCAACCCACGTATGGTATGCAATCTTCTGCACTGAATTCACCCCATCAAGTTAGAACATCATTAAGCAAGCGATGAAAACTACCATTGTCATGATCACTGCCACGAAAGTTGTAGCCTAGAGTGTCCCATCTATTATGCGGGCTCTATTTCCTCATGCTGGATGTGTGAGATTCACTCGGTCAGCAGAAGATGCTGCTTGGGAGATGACATCCAAAAGAAAACCAACTTCATCTTCCCTAATGAATCGAAATGATTGCACTTTCTTTATACTAAAAATCTCATGAACAACTAGTTTTTTTAACTCTCTCCAGTAATCTGAATATGGAGAGAAGCCAATATCGAAGAAATTATAAGAGAGTCTTCGAGTGTTAACCAATTTGGGTCTACTACAAGTGTGAAGATCATGTACCTTTAAAATTTCTTTTGCAACTTCAGTAGAGGAGACTACAAAAGTGGATAAAGAGCCAATTTTGATAAACATTAGAGGCCCATATTTGATGGAGAGATCCCACAAAAATCGGTGAGGCAAATCGCCAAATTGGTGTAAGTTTCCTATTATGGGAAGTTTATAAGGGCCTGGTGGTACCTTCCTCTTTTGTGGCCTTGTTAACAATACCATAAGTAGGAGAGCAAAGAGGAAAATAGGAAACAAAACAAGGTTCATAGCTACATAACTTTTTCACTTTCTGCTTCTGAGATGGTATTCTTGCTACCAAGCATCCTTTTTATTTCCATGTTTGGAGGTTTTTCAAAAGAAAAAAAAAATTCAAAAGTATTAGTTTAAGTAAAATTGTATTTTTATATAAAGTAGATAATATGTAAAAATAAATATCTAAAATATTAAATTCTTTTTAATCTACAATATTAGTTATTTGTTTTATTTTAATTATAAAACATATTACTAATTAATGCCTGCTATCACATCTTAAAACTTTGATAAATGCATGAGGTAATAGAGAAGACTTGTCGTTTTAAGCAGAGAGCAAGACTTTTACAAGAATGAGAGGCGCATATTTGTCAAGACATTGCCCCTCGAAGTGATCGGATTGATAAAAGGTGCCAGTCGATTAACTCCGTACTATACATTACATACATATATATATATATATATGTGCAAGTTGTATCCATGATTCTTGAACTCGATATTAGCAGAGAGCAAGATTTTTACAAGAATGAGAGGCGCATATTTGTCAAGACGCATATTTGTCAAGACATTGGCCCACAGAGTGATTGGATTGACAAAAGGTGCCTGCCGATTAACTCCATACTGTACATTACATATATATATATATATATATATATATATATATATATAGTGTTCGTGTTTCTTGAACTCGATATAAGCAGAGAGCAAGATTTTTACAGGAATGAGAGGCAAATATTTCTAAAGACATTGCCCCACGAAGTGATCGGATTGATAAAAGCTGCCAGCCAATTAACTCCGTACTATACATTACATACATACATATATATATATATATATGTATACAAGTCGTGTCCATGTTTCTTTTCGAGTTTCACTCACATAGCATATTTATGAAGATTTTCATATCAATTTGAAAAGGAATATAATCACATGAGGTATACGTTAAAAAGAAAAGATAAGTTGGATCCATTTTTTTCTGTTTTTTTTTTCTTCTGAAACTATTAGTTTTTTTAATGTTAGAAATTAAACTTGATTTAGTTAATTAAATAATAATAATAAGTACATATAATATATACATATATATAATCTTATCAAATGGAGTCGTTTCTTTTATCTACAAACCAATTTAGTTCATGAGATTAGTAACGAGTACATAGAAAAATTTGAGGTTATTTCTGAAGTCAAATATATGAACTCGAGATTAATTTTCTTCATCTTTAAGTAGATTTGGCACGTTCGTAACTATACTAGTTAATTCAATTGATTTTGAATGTTGTTGTAGTTAATGTGTGTTAATTTTTTTTTTCTTTTCCTCTGTTGTATTCTTGTTTGTTATAAGAAAATCATTTAAAATTCTGAACTTTTGAAGCTTTATAGACTATATATATATATATATATGTAACGGCTCCGAAAATTAAAAAGAAAATACATATAATAATCTGAGTGCGGAAGTGAAATAAAAGATTAAGATTAACATCTCTTACACAATAACTTAAAAGTACTAAACAATATCACAGAATAAGTTCTCTTGAGAAAATACAATAAATAAGAAAAATAAAGGAAACTATAAAGTATCTAGTATTTACTCGCCGTCTTCTTGTGGATTGGGCTCGGGAACCAGGTCCTCCTGATCTGAAATGGTTAAATAAGGAATGAGTTACACTAACCCAGTAAGGACATCACACTATATCACCGTCACAGAAGCAAAAGTTGGTAGAAAACCAAAAACAACTAATGGAGCACAAATTTTAAACAAATTCATTTATCAATAATTAAACTATTTACTGTCCACTTACCGCAGTGAGATTCATAAAAACTACATACGAAAATAATAACATTATAAATATTATGAATTCATATATAATCTGTAACATAGCACATATCATACTTTTATATTCAAATCATCAAACAACAATTGCCCCTTTTTATCAACCTACTAGTATCCATGGAGATCCATAGGGGTCCTCACTACACGTGAACCATTCCCCTTAACAAGTTTAATTTCAGTGCCGTCCCCATACCCCGTCCGGTATGAGCGCCAAAATAATAAACCTCAATACCCCGTCTGGTATAAGGGTGAAGTGGGTTGTCTCCATACCCTGTCCGGTATAGGCGCCAAATGATCAAGTCTCCATACCCCGTCCAGTATAGGCGCAAAATGACCAAGTCTCCATACCCCGTCCAGTATGAGACAACGTTCACGGTAGGGTTCCCTATGAACTCGGTCCGTCCACCATCTCCCAAGATATCTAGTGAGGCTATCATCTTATCTATTTATCAAATCCCATCCCATTCCATTTTGTCCTTAGTCTTCGTTACCAACTCAAACATGAATACATACACAAGTAACGTGCATCCAACAAAGCAAACATATCTTAGATTCCCAAAATCAAATAGTAGTAAAGTAAGCAGTGATACATGCATACAAAATCATAAAATAAATAACCGGGATACCACATTCATTTAAACTGTAAATAATCAA